TGGGGAAATTGTTGTTGGGGAATTTGCTGTTGGGGAAATTAGTGACTGGGGAAGTTAGTAACTGGGGAAGTTAGTGTTGGGGAAATTGGTTGTTGGGGAAATTGCTGTTGGGGAAGATGTCTCGGGGAAGTTGTGACTGGGGAAGTTGTGACTGGGGAAGTTGCGCTGGGGATCTAACCTAACACCCATAATTCATAGATAGGACAATTTCAAGAGGATATTTCATAGATAGGACAATTTCAAGAAGACTTTTTATAGATAGGGCAATTTCAAGAGGACATTTCATAGATAGGACGATTTCAAGTGGACGTTTTATAGATAAGACCATTTCAAGAGAACATTTCATAGATAGGACAATTTCAAGAGGACATTTCATAGATAGGACAACTTAAAGTGGACATTCACGGTCAAAAATCTCTTTTTTATCCATGAATTGTCCTCTTTAAACTAACAATTCAAAACGTTTCAGTAGACTAATAAGAATATGTCTGACATCCTAGATCAGTCCAAGACTTAACGGGTGCCGTTGTAAATCAGGTATAAACCTCTTTAAATGGAAGTTCACTTGAAATTACACTTTTAGTCCCTTACAACTGCAATTACTTTATGGGCTGATTTGTTGATTTTAATTCCCCTTAATACTCATCTATATCCTTGTGAACCAAACCCCTCCATTTACTCTGTTGTAAGGTCGTCTCTGGCAAATTGTACCTCCGTTGAACCCTCCGTTGACTTTCCAAACCAAACATTTCCAAGGTCTCCGCGTAAATATAAACAAAAGCCTCATGGAGCTAATAAAACTTAAAGTGCATTTAAAGAACCAATTTAAACATAATTTCAGTGAATCATTTACGAATAAACAGTGAAATTCCTTTTACCCAAATAAATATTTATTTCAGAAGATTTAAATTGCTTTAGACTTCAATTCAAACAACTATTCCCGTGCTATACTATTTTAGATCGTAAGTTAATTCACAGCAATATCTTTTAAACCTTTATTTGCCGATTCACAACAATACCTTTAAACCTTTATATTGGCCGATTCACAACAGGACATTTAAGCCTTTGTTCAATTCTCAATGATACATATTTCTTTAACCAATTGTTCGCTTACAACAATATTCATGTATTTAGTTACACCCAACTGGTTTAATATTTATCAACAATCATTACTTATATACATGTACGTCAATAACAATTTGTATTTTTGTAGGAAACCTCGTTACTGAAATATATTTTTTTCAAGAAGAAGTTCTCATCTATGTATGCACAAAGAATAGAGTGTTCATCTAGCTTATTAGCCTTTGGATTTGTCAGCCTTCGAGTTGCATTTCCTCCGCCTCATTTCCGCCCTTTCGAGCAATATTCCTTTTGATCGGTTCACAATCCTTTATGAAAGTTTGCGCAGGAGAATTTGATATCGAGTTCGGTCTTTAAAGAATTTAACCTAAGCGCTATTTAAAAGTTTTTGTTTTGAGTTTCAAAGTTGTAAAGCTGTATAAATGTATCTCCAAATGAAATATTCTAATGAATTGTTAAAAAAAGTTAATCGTAACAAAAAAACACCGTCTAGTAGTTTTTTAAGTCAAATTATTTGAGAAATATGTTTATTTTATTTTAGATTATAAAACGACAAGAATTTGCATGTTTTCTTGTAACAAATTAAATTATTTTTACTAAACAGTTTAGGATGTCATTGCTAACTTTTCTTAGTAGAGTTGGTAGTTAACTTGAAAAATTAACTAATAGGAAAAAAAATAAAATAGAATTACGGCCTTTTATAAAAAATTCTTTACAGTCACTATTATTTCGAATCCGAATAAACTTTTTAGTTTTGTTTAAAAGTTTGTTTAGAAAGGTAAAACCTAAAATTTTCGAGATTTAGCGAACATATTGATCAAATTTCAAAATATTTCAGCCTAAACACAAAACCACAATTAAAATTCCAAAACTTAAAGGTAGTGTTCGCGAAAAATGAAAGGGGGTATACGTTATTAGGTACAAGTCGTTTAAAAATTTTTCTCCTTGTAGACGCAACAGATAAAAGTAAGATTAGAAGCGATCAAAAGAGATTATTTTTCGCCATAAGCCAATACCTATTTCATTTTCGCCATGAGCCAATACCTATTTCATTTTCGTCATAAGCCAATACCTATTTCATTTTCGTCATAAGCCAATACCTATTTCATTTTCGCCATAAGCCAATACCTATTTCATTTTCGCCATGAGCCAATACCTATTTCATTTTCGTCATAAGCCAATACCTATTTTATTCTCGTCATAAGCCAATACCTATTTCATTTTCGCCATAAGCCAATACCTATTTCATTTTCGCCATGAGCCAATACCTATTTCATTTTCGCCATAAGCCAATACCTATTTCATTTTTTGCGAACACTCCCTTTAACTCAGTACTTTATTGTAGCCCGATAATTATAATTTGTACTTTCATTAAAAAATTAGACTTTATTGAAATTTAAACCCCCGAGGGATGAAATGAGTTATTTATGACGGATTTCAATAAAAAATATCTGTTATGGAAAGGTAATATTGTCAAATGACTAGAAATTTTTCTACTTTACTACACAACTAAATCCAAAACTTAAATCATACAGTCAAAAAATATATTTCACATTACACTTTCAAATATCTTTAATTTACCAAGATATTGATAAAAATATAAGGTTTCCTAAAAAACACTCTTAAAGTTCTAAAAGGAACTGTGTTATAGATTTTTGCAACATTCAATTCAATTTTTGCGTTTACCCTTGGAAATAAGATATGTTAAAAGAATTCTCCTCTCCTCTAGTAAAATTATTAACTTAATTATATACAGCCAAAAAATATATTTTACATTACACTTTCAAATATATTTAGTTTACCAAGATATTGATAAAAATACAAGGTTTCCGAAAAAGCGCTTTTGAAAGGAACTGTGTTATAGACTGATGTTGCAACATTCAATTCAATTTTTGCGTTTATCCTTGGAAATAAAATATGTTAAACTAACTTTCCTCTTTTAGGACCCTAGTGAAATTACATAACGAAACATGCAATAATAAGAAAGTTGCACGGGCAGCCGTAGTACATTTGAATTTCCGAGCCGGGTCAACCTTTCCGGTCTCAGTTTGTACTGTATCGCCGGACATTGGGTTAATAAAGCAGACACTCAATAGGACTAGCCGGTGCAACAAGGTTGACGCGGTCGTCAGACTTTAGGTTTAATTTACTTTTACTGAAGGGTCAGAGGTGCGTGTTTCAAATATATTTAATTTACCAATATATTGATACAGGGTTTCCGAAAAAAAAATACTCTTAATAAAAGGAACTGCAGTTATAGACTGTTGCAACATTCAATTCAATTTTTGTTTTTACCCTTGGAAATTAGATTTGTTAAAAAAACTTTCCTCTTTTGGGAGCCTAGTAAAATTACATAACATGAACGAAATATGCAAAAATAAAAAAGTTGCGAACTTAACCAAGCCAAAGTTACAAACTTCAAACTCTCATAATTTTCTAATTTACTCAACTTTTGTGTTGCATGCCTTCAAATAATGTCCAATGTCCAAAGATAAGAGTTTTAGAAAATTTTAAAAACAAATGTAAAAATTGAACCATGATGAGAGCTGATGGTATTTGGACATTCAAATAACCCATTTTTTTGTCTAGCCATCTTTGTCATATTCAAAAAGCTTATGTTGAAATATAGGAAAATATTAAAGCCTATTAAGTTAAATCCAATTTTAATCTTTTACTAAAAGTATATTTAGATTTTAGTCGAAATCTCGAAAAATACGAACAAAGGTTACAACTATAAAAATGTGGCAACTATATATTTAATTACTTTTATACTTTTACACCTAAACGATAAATATACAAAAGAAAATGCTAGATATTTATGATAAGGTTTAGTTAACACAATTAAATTAATTAAAGACTAAATCAATTTATATTTACGTATAAATAAAAGCTAATTATTTAATGAATCTTATGTCGGCCATTTCAATATAGCAACTGCAATATTTGGTTTGGTTTCAGAGAAAATGCACGAAGAAGTCGATATATTATCATCTCTGGAAGGTGACAGGTTTAGTGTGTTATGCTTGTTTGATGTCCATAAGTTCAGTTTTGAAGATTTTAAATCGAATTTCGACCATTAACCTAAATCAAATTGGAGTTGAACACAATATTGACCTATGTTAATGGAGAAAGCCGAGATTAGGTTTGTTTGGTTTCTTCTTGATTTCTCCCATCGTCCGCCATCTTGATTTATTGATTTGCGCATTTTCCCAATCAAAAATTTTTAGAAATCTTTTGCTTTACTCAAGCTTTCCAGAATATAATTCTTTTGTTGTTCGCAATCTATCTAATATTCTAGTTCTCTAGTTATCTAGTTATTTAGTGACCTAGTCGTCCAAAGCTCTCTTTACCTATCTACTTTTCTGAATATATAATTTACTAGCTTTCTCTAGTTTTTCAGCTATTTACTTTGCTTGCCATCTAGTTGTTCAGCTATCTACTTTGCTAGCAATACAGTTTTTCAGCTATCTACTTTGCTAGCCATCTAGCTTTTCAGCGATCTATTTTGCTAGTCATTTAGTTTTTCAGCTATTTAATTGGCTAACCATCTAGCTTTCTAGATATCTACTTTGTTAGCCATCTAGTTCTTTAGCTATCTAGTTATCTTGTTCTCTAGTTATTCATTTACCTAGTTATCAGACTTGTTTGTTCTCTATTTCAATAGTTCTGTAGTTCAATATACAAATAGAACAGATTCTAAACTAATATTTTTCATAGAAAAATTCTATAAAATCAAAATTGTTCGAATTCTGCTGGTATTCTTATCTTCTTCTGTACAGCGAAGGCCTAGTAAGAAAAAACATGAATTCCATAAAAAAAAAATTATAATTTGCATAAAACCATCGTTACCTTCAAAGCTTCGAATTTTCTGTGCAGCCCCTCAACCTCCTCTCTTAGCTGTACATTCTCATCCTGTACAGTTATATAGTAGATAGCTGTAAATTTTCATTATTTACAGTTATTAGTAGATAGCTGTACAATCTCATCCTGTACAGTTATATAGTAGATAGCTTTACATTCTCATCCTGTACATTTATACAGTAGATAGCTGTGCAGTTTTTATGTATTCTTATTCTGTGCAGTTATAAAGAAGATAACTGTACAGTTTTTATGTATTCTTGTTCTGTACAGTTATAAAGTAGATATCTGTACAGTTTTTATGTATTCTTGTTCTGTACAGTTATATAGTAGATAGCTGTACAGTTATAAAGTAGATAGCTGTACAGTTTTATGTATTCTTGTTCTGTACAGTTATAAAGTAGATGGCTGTACAGTTATAAAGAAGATAGCTGTACAGTTTTTTATGTATTCTTGTTCTGTGTAGTTATAAAGTAGATAGCTGTACAGTTATAAAGAAGATAGCTGTACAGTTTTTATGTATTCTTGTTCTGTACAGTTATAAAGTAGAGGTACGAGGTCACAAAATTGTACCATGCATTTAGAAAAAAATTTATTATCTAAAGATTTCACATGATTGATCCAATTTATGTTAATAAATAACGACATAGCCTTATTAATTTCTCAGATAGACAGATTAAAAAATATAATTTCCGGCTTAAATTCCTTTAAAACTTTAATCCGTGAATCCCCCCCCCCCCCCNTATATTTAAAAAAAATATTAGAAATTTTGAAACATTTTATTTATGCTCTTATTCAAGCGTCGATAGCCCGCGTTTCTTATATAAACTTCATATACAGCATAAAATGCATAAAGAGGGTGTTTTTTTGGTCAAAACATTTAAGTATTTTAATTTAATGATGATTGGCATAATTTAAAACTGTTTCCTCTAAAAGTTTGCTTTTACATCGAATTGTGCAATTCGTTTCAATTATACATTTCGGCCTCTCAGATGTTATATCAGAAAAGATTTTGAACAATGTATAAAAAAAGAAAACAATTCTTCCTGAGGAGCCTTTTAAACTCCTAAAAACCTCAAAAGGCTAAAAAAGGGGTTCAGCACCCATATCCCTAAACCCTCAACCCTTCCAGGGCCGGCGCTGTAAATCAAAGCAAGATAAGAAGGGGGTTCACACCCGTAACCCCACCCCCCAGTATCTAAACATCCAAACAAGGGTATATTAGGAAATATGTTAAAAAAACACCCACTCAAATTGAATTTATTACATCATGTAACAAATTTGAAAAGAAATCCACGGTAAATTAGAGTTCATGGTTTTAGAACCAACGGTGCCTTAACTTTAAACCCCAAAATTACCCATTAAAGGGACTGTACGCATATTTTCAAGTGACCCTCTGTGCAAAGATAGCAATGTCCGATTCACAACGTTAACCTTGAAAATATGGAAGATATTGTTGTTTGTCTAGGTTTAATTCCTCTACGTTTTCCGGCTGTAGAAATCTGAAAATTGAAAATAATCGGATTTCAAAATATTAAACATCAATATCAAATAGATACTTGATTTAACAAAGCTTTTAAGTGCACCGTTGTGAATCGGATATTGACATCTTTGAAACTCCGCTATTAGTCCCTTTAAATGTAGATTTTTTTGCCTGGAAAGTAAGTTTTTTGGCCTTTTCTACATATTCTAAACGTGTTAATCTTTTATTTATATTTGAATTGTGTGTATTTAATTATTAAAGGGAATTATTTGTTAACGTAAAATTAAGTGAACCTTCATTTGCGGAGTACCATGGACGTATTTTGTTTTGCTTTTCGCTAACAATGACAAATTAGTTTTAACAATGATCCGTTTAAAATTACTTAAACAATCCCTAATTTTGGTAAGATCTGCAAGTAATAGATAAATAAATAAAATTGTATACTTGCATCTCCACCTGGAGCTTGTCAAGGTCCTCGAACTCCTTCCCCTTCTCACACTCCAGCTCGTCCTTCTGCTCCAACCTCTTGATCCGACAGCTAGCAGCGTATCCTCGGTTCTTCAAGGTTCGCCGTCTAAAAAATTATAAGTCAGGGTTTACTCTTGGGAATGGTTATCAACATACAAACTAGACACCCCTAAGATAAAAACAACTCTGAAAGTTAGTCGTCCTCCTCACCAACCTACAGTTTATACAGTCTAGACTTTACAGTGTCTTTACACCTCACCAACCTACAGTTTATACAGTCTAGACTTTACAGTGTCTTTACACCTCACCAACCTACAGTTTATACAGTCTAGACTTTACAGTGTCTTTACACCTCACCAACCTACAGTTTATACAGTCTAGACTTTACAGTGTCTTTACACCTCACCAACCTACAGTTTATACAGTCTAGACTTTACAGTGTCTTTACACCTCACCAACCTACAGTTTATACAGTCTAGACTTTACAGTGTCTTTACACCTCACCAACCTACAGTTTATACAGTCTAGACTTTACAGTGTCTTTACACCTCACCAACCTACAGTTTATACAGTCTAGACTTTACAGTGTCTTTACACCTCACCAACCTACAGTTTATACAGTCTAGACNAAGCATTGAAACATTGGTGCTCCCAACCCTACCTATGAATTGGCAATGTATAAATGTAAAATGTATTAAAGTTGGCAAACAAGTATCATACCAACCTAGTACCACCCGTCCCCCCTCCCTCCATTCCTCGTTTCTATCTCAAATTAGCAAAGATGTGGCTTTCTCGGCAGAGATAAGGAAAAAAATTACAAGACTTTTCTTGTTTCATTTGAAGTTTACGTTGACAATTCCGACCAGGGGGTACCTAGGTGGATCAGAGGGGGGGGGGAGACGTGGTATTGAACCCCCCCCCATCCTCTCTTGTAGCGGTTGGTGGTGACACTATCCTCGTAATCGCGGATTTCCCTGCTATTGTTCGGGTGGAATGAATGGAACGCAAAAGAAGACGACAATTCATGAGCGTGACATCATAACGTAAATCTTATCAAGAGATCTTAGCCAACAATCATGGTTCTCTTCAATTCTTAGCTTTCTTTCGAATACAACCTGGGATTTTTTTCTGAAGCTCAGAGTCTGATCTTTGAAAGGTCAGAACTATATAGTTGAGCATTTGTTCTCTAAAGGTTATACATCGGTGTATAGAGTACCGAGTTTTGGTAAAGGTATAATATTATTGTTTAAGTTTTGTTTACATTTTTCCTGTCTGTTCAGGCCTCAGGATAATTTCAAGACGTGGCTCAGAATCTGATCTTAAAATGTTGGAGGATTAGTTCTGAGTCTGAAGAATGAGGGTGGAATGTCTGAATCTGAATCTGAGTTGAGAAAGGTTTGGCTCAAGCTCTGGGTTGAGTTGAACCCTGAAACAAGATCCCTGAGTTTACTCTAGATCGTGACTAAACCCGCAGGGTGAACTATGCATTACAAGTTTAGAGACCTTTACGCCCTTTAGCCC